AAAGAGACAAGAGGGTCTGGAGGAAGCTGTTCGGAGGTCACTGAACCGCGAAAGAGCATCGGTTTTTGGTCAATGTACGCACTACCGAAATACATTCTCGTCTCAAGGCTCGAGACGGTCCCGATATTTCCAACTGGTCCCAGTGGGTCAGTGGTTCATGAGGAATCAGAGGACTCGGAGGGAACATGGTGTACTTGAAAAGCATGCCCAATATTTTGCAAAAATATGAAAGCTTTCATTCGAACGTGACAACATTTCTTCGCTATTCTTCGTCGATTGTCTGTACAACTATTCCTTGCAACTTCTGTTTACTAAAATAAACGATATTCTCCAGCAAAAGACAATATTACTATCGTTTTTACGCAAATGACAGAACAATTCGTCGAATAGATATTAAAAAGAAAGGAACAAGTGGGAACCACAGACTCATCGTGCTCGTGTCCGAACTCGAACTAAGGACAGGGACTCGGACTTGGACTCCAGTTCGATACGACTCGACTCGGAACGAATCCTGAACACGAAAAAAGAGGAGGAATACGCTCGAGTTACTTTGTCTTGGTAGATGTACAATACTTGTCAAATTATAAGTAGACGTATTTCTAACAAATGTGAAATAACCATTCTTCCTGGTTGCGGTTCCAAGAGGTTCTGTTAGAATTTAGGCTACGTGCAGCTACCCGAATCTGGAACAGGTTGGTCGTTGACCCTGCTTTCAATGCTGTTTCGAATAAGACTTTTCAAGCAGAAGTTCTTTTTCGATTTATTCTTCGACAATTGTCAGTGTCGAATAACAACCGGATAGAAATCGAGCAAGTCGTTAGAGACAACGCGCAACCATCGCAAAACCAAATGAAATAACAATTCGTTCCGACTAGAATTCTCTATCGCAAATCAGTTCATTCTATTTCGATCGTTACTAATTATTTTCAATAATAATTTCACCTGCACAGTGAAACTATTTTCTAGAGATCAATCATCGTGCAGACGAACAATTGTCATTAACTTGGCAACGGTTGCACCGGGTATTCAACTTTGTGTAGCTGTAAAGCGGCGTAACGCTGACGGAAAGATAGAAAATGCACAGGAACCATAATCGAACACAGATTGTAAGAGCTACAAGAAAATGCGAAAGGTTCGAAACGACTCGGAGACGAGAGTGTGCCCGTGTACTGAATTATATGACCGACCAACGAATCATTTTGACCTACATATTCGATGCCAACACCGCGACACACCATGATCTTTATTGCCTCCAGGGTCCGAAATCGAAGATTTGTAGATACGAACGCCTCCTCGTCTTCCCTATGGCTCTATTCAATTAGAAGAAGCTGCGTACGGTCTACGTACCGAAGCACATTCTTCTTTCCTCCTTCCGAATTCCGCAACTTTCTACGAAATCCAGATTCCGATAGAACCGACTCGTATATTTTCGATTCTGAGTGGGATGATTTATCCGAAAAGAAAAGAACACTCTAAAAAGCTTTCGCGTTCTGCCACGATCACAAGCGAACCTCTAGTTCCATTCGAATAAACGTTTTATCGAGCAGTTGCAACTTACTTTGATAATACGAGTTTAACGAGTGGATGCCAACTACGAATAGATAAACTACAACTACGGATAAAAAGCCAAGTCGGTATTCACATCGCGATCCTTTTATCATGATTATTCTGTGGATTTGCATCGACGTGTCGACGCGGCTAGGAAACATAATTAACGAGAGTTTAATGAGATTAATGAGATTAACGAGATTAATGGAAAATTGACCAGCGGAAAACTCGTGTATCTGAAATATCCGAACAGATCGAATGCTAATCAACTGTTTTACGTGGAAATTGTGTTTACAGGATCGACGGAAACGGCGGTGCTCGCGATTCAGTTATCAGTAAGAAACAAGTTCTGTCGAGTGATGTTCGATAACGGGATACGCGAAATGAATGTTAAATGTTTCAAGCATGAGTATTTCCGTGAATATATAACGATTCGGTGAATATTTCACGTTTAAACGTTCGTCTTGTTCAAAGGTTCAATCAACTTGTAGCCGTAAAACGAACAAACGGCGATCTAGTTTCTCTTGTAAGCAGTTGACTTTTGCGTGAACAATGCAGCTTACAGTTGCCAGTGAAAACGACGGGTTATCGTGGCTGAGAATCTTGCCACTGGTCGCATTGCTGATACAAGTTAATAGCGGAAATTCGGAAACGATCGATCAACTGGACAAAGACGATTTGAACGAATCCGTACTGGCGTCCGTACCGGTTGTTCCACCGATACCGAAGCATCGAGGCACCTTTGCTGAAACCCACGCGCACCAAACTATCGGTAAGTATCGTGATACCGCGGGAAAACTCTGAAAATCTAATACTTGTTATTCTCGTCCGTTCGACTAACAGCAAATCGTATAGAGTCTTGGTCAAAAGACGATAGACAGAATATTTGGGAACTGAGCGGTCTGTTCGAAGGAGACATAATGCTTCTTCCGGGTGAAAAAGTCGAATCGAAGAATGGTTTAGCGAAACCTACATCTCGTTGGCCTGCTGGTATCGTGCCGTACTACATCAAGGAGGAATTCGGTAAAAGACTTTTCGAAAATGCTCAAATACTTTCGGAACAGTGAAATCGTAGAATCTTTATTTCATCCATCTGTACACACGTTCGTAGATGAAGAAGAGATCGAGTTGATCAAGGGTGCTATGGAGGAGTACCATGAGAATACGTGTTTACGCTTCCGACCGTACGAGAAAACGGATGTCGACTATATCACTATACAGGGGGAAATGTCCGGCTGTTGGTCACTGGTTGGTCGACACGATCGCGGGCAAATGGTAAATTTACAAAGACCAGGATGCGTGCAACACGGTGTTATTGTTCACGAGCTGATGCACGCACTGGGCTTTTACCATCAACAAAGCGCATCGGATCGTGACCAATGGGTCACGATAAATTGGACGAACGTAAAACCAGGTGAATTAATTATCCGCTAATTCATCTATTCATTCATTTATCCGTATACCCGTTTTCCCGTTCTACGCAGGCAAAGAACATAATTTTAACAAATACGACAATCAAACCGTTACCGACTATGGAATCAGTTACGACTACACAAGCGTGATGCACTACAGTTCTCATGCGTTTTCGAAAAACGGGGAACCGACCATTACACCAAAAGTAAGTATCTATCCCGCGATACGTTTGATTCTTTTCGGTTTCTTAATATCAATCTATTACACAGAAGAAGGGAGTGAAGCTTGGTCAACGAAAAGGACTCAGTGGGAAGGATATATTAAAGTTACAAGCAATGTATAAAGAAGAATGTCGCAACCTATCATCCGAAAACATTCCAAAACTAACGGCCGCTTACTTTCAATCTTGAGGCTATGGGATCGATTCGATTTTCAATAAAACGTGCTTCCAAACTAACGACATATTATCACACACCATACCAAACTAATGAAATAATAATCAAGACAACGAAAGTTTCACAGTGAAAGGTTCTCTTCGAGTCATATACAAAATATAAAAAATTCGTATCTGTCTGAAAAAAGAGACAAAGATTATAGCTTCTGTTTGCAACGCATCATCCCTTGTGTTTTGTCCATCTTTAGTCGACTTCAGTCGTAGAAAATCCCTTAGTCTCCTCACCAGTCTAAAAATCCACAGTTCCTCGAGCATATTTCCGAATATGTATTCTTTTCTAACAACATTTCGGATCCGTACTTTCTACTTACCTCGGGTAATTCCGGTCTAATGTCGTTTAACGATCTTGCGCTTAAAATCCCTACGCTCAATACATTAGACCACACGCTTTCCAAAGTCGTACGAAAACAGCCACCTAGCAGCCTAATTAAGCAACAACATCTTGCAGCGGTCACATCGTCCGCTGCTGCTACAAGGCGGCAAAGCATCACCGCCGCATCCTCTACGATTATGCGAATTAACGTGAAACTCATGCAGTTCGATAATAAATCTTTCCATTCGATTCAACAAATAAATAATGATTACCCATCGAAATACATGCCTGGCTTATTCCAAACTAAAACAACTGTTTTCACTAGATTTGCATTTTCAGGCTGAGATCGCAATATTTCGTTGAAAATCGCAACAAGGTTCCCGAGAATCCGTTCCTCTCTCAATTTCAGCAATTCTTTCAGAAATTCGATCCCGTTCACAGTATAAATTGCGTCGCAAAACTGAGTAAGAAATCTCTTTTGGTTGTGAATTAGTCTGCAAAGTACAAGTATCGTATACTCCAAAGTTTCAAGGCGGTTCGTGTTCCATTTTGTCGCGAAATTACTCTCCAAGTTTTCTGATTTCGATTTCTTGTTTATATTCCGGGATCCCTTAGACATGAACAGTTTCAGTGCAAAGACGAGGTTCGGTACAACCCAAACGTCTAAATATACTTGCTCGATCTTATCAAGACAGTCCTTCGGCTGATCGTTTGAAACAACAAACGGTAAGGACAAAAGACAAGCTACGTATTTAACGACTCGAAAGCTAGCTCGTGGATTTCTCAACGGTGATACGAATACTGAGACACAGTTTTGTTGAAGTAACGAGTCCATTTCACCGTCCATGATTTCCTCCATGGACTTCTGCAAGAACGCGATCCATTCTTCGTTTTCTATATTACTTTCGACTATTACAGGGTTCCAGTCGGATAAACTGTTGTTTCTTGGTACAGAATCATCTTTCGTTAAATCGTTCTTCGGAACAAGAGACGCGTTACCCGTATCTCTGTCGACTTTTGTAACCCCGTCTTTCACGAAAGGATGTAAGTAAAGGGCCGGCCAGGTTAACCTTCGAGAAGGATCTTTCTGTAGCAATCTCTGTTCGCAAATACATTATCGATGAGTCAATAATGATCGAATAAGACAATTTCAGTTTCTAACGTGCTAATTTACATTTATTACTACCTGTAAGAAACTTTTGCAGATATCGGAAAGGAAATCCGGCCATTTTATTTGTACATCTCTTATTAATCTGATTAAATGTAAAATAGAATTTGTATTAAAAGGTGGAGCACCTGTGACTATTTCAAAGACTATACAGCCGAGGGACCTGAAAGTACATCGATTCGTATCTATGGAACATCAGATTTGATTATCTAAGAAACAAATTCACCATAAATCCACGTTATGATCGTAAGGCTGTTCTTCTATAAGTTCTGGAGCCATATACAATGGTGTACCCTTTATAGAAGTTAAGACCCGTGTTCCTGTTTTCATACTACGAGCAAATCCAAAATCGCATAGCATTGCCTGGCCATTTGGTTTAATAAGTACATTTTGTGGCTTAATGTCCCTGACGATCAGAGATAACCATTTATAGATACTGAAAACTTTTGAGAAATTCTAATATAACTAACCTATGTAATATTCCCTTTGAGTGTAAATAATATAATGCAGACACTAAATCGCAAGTTATCGCCTGTGTTTTTTCAACGGACAGACGTCCATTTTTACTAGTTTTTAATACCTTATGCAAATCTTTAGGTACATATTCTGTCTCTACCCATATCTGAAGAAGAACTTATTTTTACTTTACTTACTATTATGCATCTAAACGCATAATATATTTATTCTAAACTCGTATGTCTACCTCATTTTTACTTTCATAACATCCAAATATTGGTACTATGTTGGGATGTTGTAGCTCACGTTGAATTTCCCATTCGTGACGAAGACTTTTTAATTCGTCATCCGTTCTACCATGCTATATAAACGTTTGTGCATGATACGATCATTAAAATAAAGGCGTATATCGGAAAATACATATAAAAAATTATTGTAACCAGACAACAAAAACTAGAAAAACCAAAACTGTCGATCAACAGACGTTTGTTTACCTTTTGAACCGCTTTAATGGCGACTGTTTCACCGTCAAAGTATCGTTTCGCTTTAAATACTTGTCCGAAAGAACCTTCACCCACCAGTTCATACGTTGTATATGCTCCGAGTGCCATTCTATTTCTGTACAATAGAGATAATAGCTCATTCAGCAAAAAAACATGCGTAAACCTGTTGTAAACAAAATCACACAACTTCGATACAAAAACATAATAGTACTACCTATATACTCAGATTACTGCTCTCATGAGCTGCTCATTCCACGTTAGACTCTCAAACTTCAAATAAACGAGATATTATGTTTTCTTTGTCTGTGATACTGCACATTATAATTATAATTCAAATGTTTTACAGCGAGATAAAACACAGTTTCAACCAGCTCCCTGAGTAGAGGTAGGTAGTGGGGGAACGCGCAGAGTACGGCTCGTATTGGTCAGCTTTCATTTTGTCTCATCTCATTTTCGATACTAATTTGTTATTCGTCAAAATATAGTTACACACAACCAATCAAAACCATAAACAAAATCCCTAGCGAGAGACCCCTCTTGCCCCTGTGCCGTCTCGCTGTTGTCTTTGAAACAACGGACGACATTTACTTTTACTTTAAACAACTGTATTACTTATTGGGTATTTAGTAATTGTAGCTAAGTAAGCGTATATTTTCTGCTAGTAATGCATTGGAAAAACAGTTAATACGAAGAAAGTACAATGTTATGTTACACCGGTTTTTTTATTGTCCCACTTTTATCTTTCATAATCCTTTAGCCCCCCCACCACACTCACTCTCTCTCTCTCTCTCTCTCTCTCTCTCTCTCTCTCTCTCTCTCTCTTTTTTGCTTTCTTTATACATAGTATATAGAATTGCGAGCTATTGAAACACAACGTTTAGAGTTTAGAGTAACAAATATCATCTGTATATTCAAACATTTGAAATTTGAAAGTTAATAGTGTATAAATGTAATCCTATATTTAGAATTAAGGGAAACTAAGTATCATATTTCAACTGCATTCATTTAGGAATTTCAATAAATTTCGAGTACTTGAATTGACTCGCGTAGCTGCGTGACACGAGTTTTGGGATTTTGGAGATCAAACGATCAAAAGGGATAGTGACAACTCATTTTACGTTCGTTAATCGTTACCTGTAATTGCGTGTACAAATGCATACAACGTTTAACATTTTAAATTAATTCTGCGTAGCTAATCGCCCGTGTGTTCAAGAATTTGAAAGAAAGTTAAACATTCATTTGACAAATTATCTTTACAGCAATAGGGAAGTGAAAGAGGTTATCTGTTTGATCAGATTTCTGTCTCTTGAAACGTAAATATTGTCGCAATGGCTGGTGCAGTGCTATTTGAAAGAGCACAGGCAGTTTCAATGACAAATCGCAGTGAAGGTATTTCTCTTTTAAACGAGATCATCTCCGATCCTAGCATTGGTATCGCTGACGATGATGAAGACAATATTCGAGTAAAAGAACAAGGCATTTTACATCTTGGTGAACTTTACAAGAAAGAAGGCAAAGCAAAGGAATTGGCCGAATTGATTAAAGCTACTAGACCATTTCTTAGTTTAATTAGCAAAGCCAAAGCCGCTAAGCTTGTACGTTCATTAGTAGATTTTTTCTTGGACCTAGAAGCTGGTATTGGAATTGAGGTACCGATATATAGATATTTAACATTAAATTGTATTACAAGTGTCAAATTAACCGGTAACTCGGAACCACTATATTGGTCTATTATAGTGGCTGTGAGTGGCCTACACGTTTTGCTTATGATTTGTTACACAACTTTTCATAATGTATCATTTCCATAGGTTCAATTGTGTAAGGAATGTATAGAATGGGCAAAGGAAGAGCGTCGAACATTTTTAAGACAGTCATTGGAGGCACGTTTGATAGCACTGTACTTTGATACTGGTATGTACAGCGAGGCGTTGCAGTTAGGATCAGCTTTACTCAAGGAACTTAAGAAACTCGACGATAAACAACTATTAGTTGAAGTTCAATTATTAGAAAGTAAAACGTACCATGCTCTAAGTAATTTAGCAAAAGCAAGAGCAGCACTTACCAGTGCTAGGACAACAGCTAATGCAATTTACTGTCCACCCAAAATGCAGGCTGCTCTAGATTTACAATCTGGAATTTTACATGCTGCTGACGAGCGAGACTTCAAAACTGCATATTCTTATTTTTATGAGGCATTTGAAGGGTAAATGATCTTGTTTAACGTGATTTTTCATCATAGAATTTTTCTTGCTTGTGCAGTTTGTCAGTGTATCTATTCTTTGTAGGTACGATAGTGTTGAGAGCCCCAAAGCTTTAACAGCACTGAAATATATGTTATTGTCAAAGATTATGTTACGCACACCCGAGGATGTTCAATCGATTATGTCCGGAAAGTTAGCAGTTAAATATGCAGGCCGGGATTTAGACGCAATGAGAGCAGTTGCAGAAGCAAGTCATCGACGATCGTTAGCAGACTTTCAGACTGCTGTAAAAAAGTATCGCGATGAGTTAGAAGATGATGTGATTGTACGTGCTCATCTTGGTTCTCTGTACGATGCCATGCTTGAACAAAACTTGTGTCGTTTGGTTGAACCTTATTCTCGTGTACAGGTAGATGGGCATCCTATATTAATTCAGATGAACTCCATATAAATAAATTTACTTCAGTTATTAAACTTCCATTAATTTCGTATTTTGTTAAAAAAAATAGGTCAGTCACATCGCTACCTGCATATCATTACCTCTCGCCCAAGTGGAAAAGAAACTCTCTCAAATGATATTGGATAAAAAATTGAGAGGCGTTCTTGATCAAGGCGAAGGTGTTCTAATTGTTTTCGAGGATACTCCGCGTGATAAAACTTACGAACTCGCATTGGATACGATACACAGTATGGGAAAAGTCGTAGACACACTTTATCAAAAAGCGAAAAAACTCACTTAGCCATGTTTAATATATACATTCTTTTAACAGCCCAGATTATTATAATTATTATTACCATCAGCTATCGTTTCGTGTTTTTAACAAATTATTTAAATCGTATATTTCAATATTCATTATATATTACTTAAAATGACGCGTTTCTGCTTTTAAATATGTTTATTTCCTTTATGCTATATGAACTGGAATACCATTTACTTTAAACTCTTAGGCAGTTCAATTGAAAATACTTTTTTTCGTTTACACATACATTATAACATGTATAGCAGATGCCAGTATGTGCATTCATTCTTTTTGCTGTACATGTATGTCTGTATAACTGTAAAATGTCACATGCATTAGTACTTCTTTCAAAGAGCTTTTTTTCTTCCGGAAAAAAAATTGAAAAAATAACACAGTGTTGTGCAAATTATAAAATATAGTACTACTATATAAAATGATATGCTATTCATTTATATATCCCACTCGAGTTATTAAAAAATAAGGTGAACGTGCGCAAATTTTTATCACTATTAATTAAATAACCATTACATTTTGAATTACACATCACCTTTACAAGAGAACCGATCAAGTAGGTGTAATTATTATTTCCTCTTTACAACATTAAATATTGTTGATATGTATCAGTCATATAAATACATATAATCTGTTTTGCCACCTACTTTTATACTAGTTTCTAGATATCTTAATTATTCAAACATCATATTCAAAGATATTTCGTACGTTATTTTACGAATTATGTACATTATTTAAAGTCAAAGAAATGGATACACAAAACTGCATATGATGTTTGTTTGTGTAATTATTATTTTACGTTAAAAAACTGTCCAAAAAGATATTATGTATCTATACTTAAAAATATGATTTATAGTATTCAATGAAAAATAAAACAATCATAATATTATTATAATCGTGTTAATTTTACAGATTCTGATTTGATAGCGTAGTAGGAGCATTCATCACTACTTCCTGTTTGAAGTTGTACGTTACAACAAAGAGGCAGGGTGGTTATATTTTATAAAGTTATTTTGTGTAGAATATATAATGGCAAATACTACGGCACAGAAGGTAAAATATTTTATGTAACGATTTTACTATTCAACACTGAAATCTGTTAAACTGGATAGTTTGCATCATTCGTCAAACAAACTACAAACAAGAATGTTTAGGTTAACACAGGCCGGCATCAATATGTCTAAGAAAATGTTTGCTTTTATTTTTTTTTAACAATATTTAAGAATATTTTCGAAAAACAATCCGTTTCTAATATTAACGGGTATTTCTTATTCAAATAGTTCACTTTGCAAATTATTGAACTCATTTTATAATCATAACTAATACTCACGCAAAACTATACATATAAACGATAGAGACTTGCATTGTTGGTACAGTTTCCTTTTTTAACTATTAAGTACATAGAGTGTACCTGATATTTTATGTTTATCTATTTGTATATGTTTGTCTTACATGTTGCGCTAAACAAGAAACTTTAGAAACAAAATATGTAAATTTGTCATTTAGAATTTGCCATTCAACAATATATAGTTTTATGTATTATATTTGTAAGTCTAACATATACAGATATTATTAAGAATTATATTAAAATACTATATCTTGATTCGATATAATCATTCTATTTAATGTATTTATCCTTCAAGTTTGTCTTACAGGTTCAAGAATACAAAGATTCTCTTAAAACAAAGGTGATTATTTAAAATGTTATTAAATTACAAAGTACTTTTGCTTTAATTGTTCCAAGATATATTATGTGTCAATATACATATATTATATATATATATATATATATATATATTATTATTATTATATATATATATACATATATTATTA